GGGGGGGGGGGGATATACATAACATGAGGGTAAAAATGATTACAAAGACAAAGTTAAATATTTAAAATCAAATCGTCCGATCAATCGTAGGGTATCGGGATAGGGACGATAATAAGAATAAAAATATCTGTACAAGCTACGTCCATCTACGTATGCGTGTATGTAGCATACGTAAAAAATAAAACAATTGGTTGATTGTATACGCTCTCTCCCTCTCTCTCCTTAGCTAGGCGCCTGTACGCTACCGTATTGTCTTAATAGAAGCGAACCTACGTTTCTTAAGAGCACATTGCCCTACGGATTCTTATCGTTCGCCGTCCTTTCCACTCTCTCATACTCTCGCACTCTCTCTCTCTCTCTCTTTCTCTCTCTCTCTCTCGCTCGCTCTCTCTCTTTCTTTCTTTCTTTCTTTCTACCCGCCTTTTCTCTTTTAATTCCTCTCACACGTTTCGCTCTTTAAATCCTCTGTAAATAGGTGACGTGGATGCCCGTGCACAGTCACTCGATAAGGCAAGATTAAGGTATCAAGATCGAAGGGCAGAAGCAAAGAAGTTGCGAACGCGCGTATGAAATCGTTCCTGTTCGATGCGCGAATCATCGAATAACTAACATTCTCTCATGGTCGTATTTATCTCGAGAAATTGCTAAAAGTGTACTACGGATTAATTCGCGATAGACTTATTAATATCGTCGCATCCTTCGGTGCGTTTGGCCTTCTCTCTTGACGGAAAAAGAGAAAAATGTTTCAAAATCGGAAACTAATGTTATTATTAATCGTAGGAACACCAACGAACATTATTTCCTTGTGTGTGGCTCGGAGGTGCGCGTTATCGCAAATGTGTATACGTATGTTGGTGTATGTGGCTGTGTGCCGACGAGAGCGTGTGCGTGTCGGTAGTGGGTGACGACGTGGTTCCTGGTTGTCCGGTAGCGGTACGTCTGCTCTTTTTTTTTCCCCTCTTTCTCTGACATACACTCTACTCTATGCTTTTTTCTCTTTTTTCTCTCTCAATTTTGTTGCTGCGTTTTTTTGCATGTATTTTGTTTTATTAGTTTCGTTACCATGCTAGGTCGTTCATCCCAAAAGTAATTTTAGACGCGCGGTCGTTTTTCATTTTCTCGGTCGGAATCAGAGTCCGCTGAATCGTGGAGTGGCGGAAATTCCGGCACCGCCTCGCGTTGTTGCATCCATCCGGCCGCACCGGGCCCTCCAGTCAGTGCTTTTCCCTGCGTCATTTTTTTTCGATTTTTTTTTCAATTGATTTTTAGCTCTCTGTCTTTATTCCCTGCAGGTGGCGACAAAATTGCGTGTCATTGGTCACTAAGCATCGCCTTCGTTTCACAACTTTACGCATTTTTTTGTCAGCACAGACAGACGTTTCTCGAATAACCATGATATACAAATTATATGGAATTTTACGAAAGCGCGGGCTATTTGAATTGGCTGCTCGTATCAGGATATCGATTTACCTTCTTGCTTCGCAACGTCCTTCTTTTTTCTTTTCTTTTTTTTTTTAACAACTGTCTTTTCTCTTTTCTTTCCTTATTTATTTATTTATTTTTCTTTTTTTTTTTCATAAAAAGAATACGTTCGACTCCCGTTACGAGCACGAAAGGATTTGCTACATAACACGAAAGATTCTAATGATCGAGATGATAATTGCAGAACAAAGGAACAAACAGCAAAACTAGGAAATCCTTTCACTCTAATTTGCCAATGCAACAAACCGGCGCCTATTCTACTATCTACGCGAAAAATGTATAACTCTGCAAATGAACTAAATATGAAATCTTTGACATCCGCCCTCTTTCACGCTCTCTCATCTCCTTTCGCCTTTTATCTATTCACCCAGAAAACCCCAGCCAATCGTCCCGCAAAAACAAAAAAAAAAAAGAAAAAACAACAACAAAAAAATAATAATAGAATATGTAGAAGTAATGATAAACGCACACACGTACTACTGTGTAAGACCAGTATAAACGTATAAACTGTAATTCTACATGCAGCCATGCATGCCACGAAGATGTCTCTCGAGGAATTATCCATCCGTAAAGAATTCTCTGATCTGCGTAATTCTTTCTATATCACTTTGTAAGTCAGCGTATGTGTGTCGTGTATTCTTAAACGTGAATGTGTATATGTAACGAATACATTGCAGTGCGATGCGAAACTCTGTAGAAGATATTCTAATTGTAAGATTAAGTATCGAAAGCCATACGAGAGCGACAAGAAACCGCATGGTGCGTTCTTCGAGGATGTATCTGCATAGCACAGATAGTCTATAAGTAGCTGTAGCACGGACAGAGATCGTCGTACTCGTTCGCCTGATCTCGTGCTATTATGCGCAACGAACAGGCGTGGTTGATCGCGTACGAAAAACTGCTAGGGGACGATTTGTTTCGAAAGTAACGTGACGATACGCGTTTACGATATGCTTGCAGTCTACTACTTCCCCGTATTTCTGCGATATCGTAAGCTGCCTAGTTTCAAACATCGATTCGTTAATCCCTTCGGAACCATCGTTATCGGTCAAATACAGCGAACCGTTAGCGAAATAAAAAGTAAAAGGCGCGACGAAACGTTCGTTCTTTGATCGACCGTGTTCCACCGATACGATTGCTCGGATTAATTTACTACTCGCTGCCACCAATTCGGTAACCTACCTAAAAACGAGCTACCTCGTGCTTTTCTCGCTCAAAGAAGGCCTGCTACAGAAGTTTTATTGCACATTCGGCAAAGTCTAAATCTAGAAACGAGCTCGAAGGCGAGAACGTCGCTGCGAAAACGTCTCAGGCAGAACAACGAACGAACAAAGTTCGATAAAAATTCGTCGCTTTAAAAATATCTCATTTCCAGTTGATTCGTTAATCGTCAGTTCCCGGCTTCGAGCGAGGCGACAAAAAACGACACGATACGTGAGAAAGGCTCGAAAAATCAAGCGCCAAGAATAATATCAACAAAAAAAAAAAAAAGAAAAAAAAGAAAAAAAGAACGCGTATAAATGTATTTATATAGTAATTATGAGTATATTGCACTATCTACGAGTCGATGTCTCGATTCTATGCGAATCAGTTTGTTCGAAATTTCGTCTGTCTCTTTTCGAAACTCGTCGTTTCGACCGTTCGAGGGAAAGAGACCTGTGCTTGTTGCAACGAAGGATGATACATCCTGAACGGCTCGTCGATTTCTAATCTCGAACATCGTTCGCGAATCTCTCTCAGACATACTTCACGCATTCCTCCAATCTCTCGTGAAACGCAAGCGGATTCACGCGTTCGCGTAAAGCCAGCACACGTCGAGCTCGATGACGAATCTACGATCGCAATTGGATTTTTCGTTGGCACGGCGCGTCACTGTGAACACAACAGAAAGCACATAAGGCTGAGATCAGTGGACACGCACCAGCCGTCTGGCTTTTTTTTCTTTTAATCTCTCGTTTACTTTAGCCAGGTCGCGCGATTCTCGTCTTTTCCTTTCTTTCCGCGATGCTTCTTACTTGCTCTCTCAATTTTTTTTTTCTTTCGCTCTCTAATTGCGTACTCTTTTTGCGTGAAGTCTGATTCGATGTCTCTCTCACTCTCTGTCGCCTTCTATGAATTTCGTTTCATCTGCATCAAGAGAGAAAGAAAAAAAGATCTAAGTGAATTTAAACGGGACGAATTTGGATTCAGCTTGTGTTCGAGAGCAAACAGCCGACCACCCTAGCAGTCCACCGAACCGTACATCTTCCTCGGAGCAACGAAATTCACCGGTGAAATCGAATAGAGAAACATATTTCTCGCAGGACTGTAGCAGAATCGCATAAACGGAACTCTGGTTCTAGTGGATCGCGAATCGCGTTCCGCGAAGATGGACGGTTCGTCGACGAAATTCGTGTATCAGCCAAATCGTTAGGTGATGGAGAGTAGAAGAGACCAAGGAACAGACGACTGATCAATCGTAACGATATTATTACAGGTGCAAGACCGTGCGAACTGTGCTTGTAACAATGCGCTTGAAAGCGCGCGGCCGTCAGTGCATTTTTGCCAATCGATCCCCCTTTCCGGGTCGCCTTACCTTCTCTCGAGATACAAACTCGCGCCATATCTCGTTGAAATGAAATTTCCCCCTTCGCTATCCCACGTAAATACACCGCGGATATATATCGTACGATATGTGATCGCGAAATTACGAACGAATCGCCCAATTAATAAATCGAGTTACGTACGTTCCAAGTTACGTACTTTCTATATAGGAAAAATCGTGAAACGAGTCCGAATATCGAGAGAAGTAAGTTGGTATCTACTGAGAAACTTTAGATTTCATTCAAGAGTTCTCCGACACGCTATAGGTGTAGCGTAAATTATATTTAGCAAGTCTACGTTTAAAATTATCCGTTATCAGTAGATATCTTCCCGACAAGCGTACGAAAAGCAGGTGCGATTATCCGACAGTCGATATTACTTGAAAAATTACAAAGAAAAAAAAAAAAGAAAAAAAAAGACAGAGATGTATCAAGCTCGTGATCTTGAAGATTTGTTCGTTTTTTGTCGTTGAGCCAAGAAAATACAGTTGGAAATCGTGCGAACACACGTTAGACACTCCGCACCCCAATTTCTTGTTGCAACAAACACAGTTCTTTGCTTCGTTTTGTTAGATTCGGGGTACCAACCAACAGCGATTAAAAATCGGGGTTATAAAAAAGATCAAATGAAACCACAGACAAAAGTGTAGCAACGGGAAAACGGATTATAGATCGGCGAAACGGGCGTTATGTTAGACAGATCCGACACGATGTGTAAAAAATAGTCTTGGTGCTTATACATTATACATATAATCGTGTGCAAGCAATTGCCTTTTTGTTATGTATGCGATTATGGAAACGTTAGTGCCAGTTGCAGCAGCAAGGGCGTTTTTATCATTGCTACGAGGTCTTTTTTTTTAGTGCCAATTGCCGGTGAAAGCGCAATTCGAAGCACGTTTATTCCGTACTCTAAACTCTTTGGGTAGATATAACACGTAGGGGGGAAAAAAGAAAATTCAAAGTTGATTTGGATGGATATTGAGTTGGTGGAGAATTCAAAGCGAGACAGAAGAAGCACGAGCGTTCGACTCGAGAAAATTCTTGGACGTTCGCGGTAACGAGAAAGAAGTGAAGAATAGGCAAGTTCAGACGTAGCCGAACCAGACGAAGGTAGAAAACGAAACGAGAAGCAGAGGTGATTTGAAAACGCGGCAGCTAGGAGAAAGCATGCATTTTAGTCGCTTCATTTCGAGCGGGTTCTCGCCCCTGGGACTGGAGCCATGGCCGAACCGGATGAACCGCGAAATTAATTTTCCTGCGAACTTCTCCGGTTTTCCTGGTCGATTCGAATTTCTGGAAATGCAACGGTAATGAGAAAAATACGAACGGAGAAGATAACGTAAGAGCGGAATAGCTCTCAGTGCGGATCGCTTTAAAGACGATACACGTTAACCAAACGATTCCTTTTGCTTTTTCGATTCTCCCTTTTCGATTTATATATACAATAATATAAAATATCATATGTATATATGTAAATCGATAGAGGAGAATGTTTTAAGAGCAGCGTGAATAAACGAGGTATTGCAAGTATTCTCGACATAGGTAATAGAACAAAGCATAGAATAAAGATGCACTTTTCATTCGATACAGATTCGAACGTCCGGCATCAGAACGTATTTTGAAGCGAGTCAACGATGACGCAGTGCAACATTTGTAACGAAGTACGCACAGACAAACGGCTGGCGTATCGACAAGGGGGATATTTAATCTAGCAATTGAGAATATCTACAAATTTCCCAGCTAGTCGAGCAACCGGCTCGCGCGTTTGTATATGTGCATGAATTTAATTCAACGTCACTCTTTATCACGTGACACCGTCGAAATTGCATGTCAGAAAGATTTACTGGATTCGAAGAACCGGACGCAAGCTGTACGATACATTTTGTTCGTTTGTTTTGAAACAACGCGAATACAAGGGGAAACCATAAGGACAGAAATTGCTAACGCATAGTTACAATTTCAAACATCGATCCTTTTGTCCTTTGACGCGACTTTATTTTTTTCACTATTGTCCTTCTAAAGGCTGTCACTGAAAACCTAATAAAAGGAGAAACAACAAACGAGATTTAGGGAAATCATGGCACTGCCGTTCGCTTACGTGCCAGATACAGAGGAATTTTGGATCTCGGAAGATACAGTCCCGTTGCGTTTCATCGGTCGAATAGAGGCAGCTCGTTAGAAGCAGGGCCGCGCACCTACCAAGTCTATTAATATGTGAGGGAGCAGCCCTACCTAAAAAGTGACTTAGCAACTCCAATGCATACTAAGCAACCCTTATGCTACTGGCTGCTGCTGGCTCCGTGTGCACTCCCTGATACTCTTTCTCCTCCAACCTTCCGCTCCTGCCACCACTATCGGCTTCCTCTAAGACCATATTTATGGGCCAGCAACAGCATATCCAATCCAGTCCTATATATTCTAACAACACGCACCTACTTGCACCTACAGACGCACGCGCCGTTCTTTACAAGCTATCATAACACGGCATTCACGCGCGCTCAACTCCATACAGAGTGTTCGATCGATAATAGAAATCACCAGCCTGTAATTACACTTATGGTGTGTATATATTTAACGTTTACACTATTTTTTATGTTTTTGATTTGCTTGAAACTGAATCACCCTGTATATAAGCACGAGCTCAAATTTTCTTTCACCATCACCAATACCACATTCGCTGCATTTTCCTTCCGCCTCCTTGCTCTTTCTTTCGTTCCCTCGTTCTCTTCCCCATCCAAACGTCCTTTCTCACAATATGTGTGAATATGCGGTGAGATGCGCATGCGTTTATAATAGAAGCACAATGCTATGGCTTGAAAATGGATGGAAATCGAGAGCAGTGTTCCAACGTTATTACATCCAAATACGATGATTACTCGTTGAAGATGAAAAAAAAAACGAAACGAAACGGAAACGATACGAAAAGAACCACTTTGCCGTCTCTTTCCATTCATTCGAACCACGCGGAAGATCCCTCGACATCGGGGTTAAGCGTTATCAAGACTTATCTAACATGCTCAAAGAATACAAGAGGGCATTGATGAAAGCGAGGCAATGATTGCTGACTACGAGGTAGAAATGAATTTACTTAGAAAGAGAAGTTCTGACGGTTACCTGGTGCATAGGATCGTAGCCCATGGAGCCGTCGTTGTACGGCTGCGAGCCGTAGTCGCTACCGTTTATGCCCATCCCGTATCCGGCCATGTCTTGTGGCCCGCCGGGTGGCGCCGGAGACATCATCGGCGTCGGGGTGCCTTGACTGGCACCACCCATACTGTACGGCGACGCTCCTGCAAAAGCTGCTGTAGAAACAATCGCGGTGCATACAAAATTCGAGGGTGCGTCTTTTAAGTTCTTCCGCCTCACTGATTAACATCTTCGTTTATCGCAAAAAAAAGACGTGAGCTCGTTTCTAATTTTGTATCTCGTGTAATCGGTGGCGTCGTCGATGCTCATCTTTCCCTCGAATTTCATTGACTTTTTAACACGATACATATATAATTCCCAATAGGACTAGTTACAGACGCCACCGATTAATTCAATCGACATACGTATCGTGAAATCGTCTTTCGGCGATTCCGCATCGAATGAACGAATTATCGGATGAAAGCGAAATTTCAACGAATTTTCTATTATCGAGAACTACATGTAAAGTATCGATAGGAATATTTGAACGACAACGGAATAACTTGGAAATTAGCTTGGTTACTTCAGAATGTAACAGCGGTAATTTTTCCTTCGAAACGCGAAAACATTTCCGCTATCCGAGACGAAGTACTGGGTTGCGCAGTGCTGGCGCCAGTATCGCTGGAATTCCGTTTCTTTAATTACGAGAAGACTGCGGCCCGTTTACCAGGAGCGTGGCTGAGGAAAGACAAATGCATGGAGGGTGTGGAAAGAAACGCGAGAATGCCGGCATCTCATCGTCCTCCTGCACTCGTGTATTCTCCTACGCTCTTCTCATCTTTCGTTCCCTCTTTCTCCGTATAATTGGTAAGTTAAAAATATCTCGCCTTGCCCTCTAAAATAAAGAAACGTCTCGGTTGTTAAGAAAAGTACGCGTAATCGCGACCAGCAAGTTGTGCGAATGCGAAGAATTTCCAGAAGAAACACCCTCGGAATTTTTATTCTAATTTCATGGAGAATGCGAAAAAGTAAATCCGAATGAACCGAGATGACGTGTCGTTATCGAAGAAAATCGTGTCGTGTCGTGTTTGCGAGAGATACGTTAAGACAGTTGCATAATTTAAGATGGTTATACAGCTCCAAGTTGAGCGTATCTTTTTATATAGCGAAAAGAAAAAAAGAAAAAGGCTACGAACCCCAGTCGATAATTTTGTTTCCTCCTAAAAGATTTATTAGTCAGCCGGAACGACAACGGTGACAGAGCCAGGGTAACGAGTAACTGAATCTCACGATAATTTACGATGATGAGAAACCGCTATGCCATGTAAACTTTTCCTCTACGCCAATATCGAGTTTGATATAAAAATGATCGCGACGATGAAAAGAAGATGATGCGAAGTAGTGTTACCGGTGTTGAGTGGAAATTTCACTAAATAATAATCTATCCGAGTACGTAAAAGGAGTTTGCTCTCGCGCAGTTGTCGTTTTCTCAGCAACACTCCGTCGGTATCAACTGCGGCTACTAAAAAGAATCGTATTTTTCAACCGTTTAACTTTCATATTATAATTTATTGCTCATTTTTATCGATATCCTTAATACGAGCAAGCTATCGAAACGAACTCTTCAAGGAACACCCGTCGCTCATTTGCGAAGGACGGAACTTACCAGCTGCCTTTTTGGCTGCGTACAAGTTCGCCTCCTCCTGTGCTTTACCTATGTTTTTCTTGTAGCGTATCCTCTTGTTGCCAAACCAATTGGAAACCTACAAATACGACGAACAACTGTATCAAGGTTGCTTAGCGATCGTATTATTTAAAAAATGCCTTAAATTAATCCGTTATCGTATTTAGTAAATCTTCGGCCGATGTTAAAAAATATTCGATCGGGAATATCAGTTGTTTCAGTAACTTCCATTATTTTAAAATAGTTATTGACACACACACGAATTACCGTTACGCGATAGCAACGAGTCCAAGTTACAAGAAATATTTTGATTTACTTTACCTGACTCACGGTGATTCCACACTTTCGTGCGAGCTCTTCTTTCGCTTCTTCGCTCGGATACGGATTACTGAGGTGCGAATAAAAGTATTCGTTTAGAATTTCCGACGCTTGTTTGCTGAAATTCCGTCTCTTACGCCTGTAATGTAACAATCGATTTCCTTTTCACAACGGATAACACTCGCCTTTCATTTACTGTACACTACTACACAACATCGGTCCTAATCCATATGATTTTAATCAACGATGGTTTTGTTTGACAATATCAGTGACCGACAACGTTCGACGGTAGGAGACCTTGATCAGGCTATAAGCGATTACGTTTAATTCAAACTTAATTCAATCTTAATCACCTCAAAATCTGTGTCTTTATCTTCAGAAAATCTACTGACAGATGAATATTTGTATTTTACATTCCTTTATAGAAATATTTCTTTCTATTCCTATTTCTTCTTTCGAACGTGCCTATCTGCTACTAAATCGCCTATCGTTATACGTTATTGATGATGTATATAATTCACAGAGAATATATGTCGTTCAAAACTGTTGCCGATAACCTCTTGTCCTACAGGCTAACTGCCGATTGGTCAGGCCACAATAAACAAGAAGGTCGATCACACGTCGAGCCATTTAGCTGTTTAGTCGTGTGTTAGAACTGGAGCAAAATTTACGCGTTTTCTAACATGTACATTTCGGTGTAACGAAAGGAATTGTGAAATAATAAACACGTATACTTTCAAGATGTCCGGTAAGTAATTACGATCGATTCATTGGTGAAGAAAAATGATTTATTATTTGATAGTGGATAATATAAATTAAATTGTAAATTAATTTGTAAATTAATACGTGGTTCAAATTAACAATATTTTGAGAAAACTCGTAGAAAATTAGTAATCTTCAACTGTGTGATATTTTTCGAAATAATGAAACATAATAGGAAACACAATATCGTTGGCATTCGTTATTATGAGAATCTATCGAATCACTATTCGCAATAGTAACATACTTCTTACTATATTCTCACTATCGTCAATATTAGATTTTCTTTTTACTGTCATGATAGGTATAAGGGTTGTTTAATTCTTTCAGGGGATTATAACCTAAACGTGTGAACGTAACAAGGAATTACGCGTAGATAAAGTAACAAAATATCGAGGACAATCGAACCAGGAGTCTGACTCGAGTTGTTTACGTTTGTCCCGGCTCAAGTACCACGATTCAGGCTCGTGCTTATTGTTTTTGACTCAAATTTCTTATCACGAATCTCGCTCGTTGTTGCAGGACGAAGAATTAAGACAGTGTCGATGCGTTTAATCAATTCATCGGTGAAAACCACGTCGGTGAAAACCGTGACGGAGATTTTAACGTAATAAAAATAAATGAACAACGTTTATGGAACGAACACTCGCCTTGCGTCGAGGAATCGACTCCTCAGAATCATCACCGCCTCGCAGGTAGACTGTTTAAGCTGCATTTGAATGCTGGAGAACTTCTTGTGAATAATCTGAACCATCCTCTCGATCTCCTTCGGCGTGATTGGCCTGGTACGACTTTGTTCCCTCAGTAGATTCATTACGTGGGTTGTGAACTCGTTACACGCCTGGGACAAAATGAAAAAATCACCTCGTTATTAACGAACACTCAAGGACCGTGTTTCCGCGCTTCAAAACCTAAAATGGATAAAAATCGAGGGCAAACGCTCGATTCAGGTAAGAAGAGGCACGCTATGTATCGTCTAAAGGACTTCACGAGTTTTCTTTGGATACAGGAAAAGCGGAAAGAAAGGTCGTCTCAACGTGAAAAGTCGGCTTGGAAGATCGCTGACGTTTCGAGGTAAGGACGAAATCGCAAAGAGAAGCGGAGGAAAGCCTCGGGAGAAGCAGGACGGAAGACCGAAAAATGAGAGAGAAGGGGCGAGGATCGAGAGTAAAAAAAAAAAAAGCGAGAAGAAAGGCGCGTACGTATAATGCATTATTCCTGGTGGCTGCTCGGTTTAAGGGAAAAAGGACTTTGCTCGATATCAGTATTCGAGACGAGCACGCTACCTTCGGGAGGGAGCGAAGAAAGGACACGGGCGCCTGGTGGAAAGAAAGGGAGAAGGTAAGGTGGTAGGAAAAGGAAAGAGGTAAAGGGAGCGAGCGAGGGGGGGCGAAGGGTACCGGAGGAGGGTGGATTTTCCTGAGGGAAGGCGTTAGAAGGAAGAGGTTGGCAGGGGAGAAGTCGGACAGGGTGGCTCGCAATTTCGAAATGGATTCCACTCTGCAGCCATACCCTGGTACTCTCCTCGTCTTTCTTCCATCCACCCCCGTTTCTCTTCGTTCTCTTCTATTCCTTTCTGCTCTTCTCTCTCTTTGCACGAGCGTACCACCGACTTGGTGGGGTGGATCAGCTTCGTTCCTGCCTCGCTGTTCACCTAGGACGAGGGGTTTGGGACGATCTCGAGTAGGTGGATTGGATGGAAAACCCACTGAGAATTATGCTCTTCTCCGCGTATTTGTGTTTCCTTCGATTTTCAAATTATCGGAACGACGAACCAAAAAGTAATGTTTTCTTAAGTAATTGAGCGAGTATTTCTAAATTGACCAATGAACCGTCAGGTGTTGTTGCAGCGCTTTATCAAACAAAGGGCAATTGCGAGGCAAATACCAGTTTCTCTTTCGAGCGAAATATTTGTCGTTCGCTAAGGACAAATACCGCACGCAAAAGATATAGTTAGAAATGATAATGAAAACTTGCGCCGCAAGTAGGTAGTACTATAGATGGCTTATAAAAGACGAGGTAACGCACGAAGACGAAGGGAGGAACGAGGTCGTGGATTCTTGTACAACCGTACCGTATCAATCAAGACGTGCTAGATAGTTTGAGGAAGGTTAGGGAATCGCGAAACGTCGATATTCATCTCCTGAAACGGCAAAGCCAACAAGTGTCCCGATGACGACCGTTAATTCGTCTCCGTGGAAAATGAAATTTCTCATGATGGCTCTAATTTTACTGCAGTTCCCTCTATTAATATGCGTGTAATATTTCGCGGATATAGCGGATATAGTGAGGGTTTTGGCTCGCGAGCGTTATCGAAATTCCAACCTGCATGCTGCTAAATATACCTGATCGTGGTTACGTCTGCCGCGGTTGTTGTGCGGTTACCGCAATATACGATAGCCTTCCTTTCTTACGTAATCGAATTTAGCAAAGTTCGCGGCAATTTTCATGAACGGATTGCCGCAATCCCCATTTATCCTGAATTATGATAACGAGACAAGACGAGAAGAAGGAAACAAAAAAAGGAAAGAGGAAGAAGAAACGGAAAAACAAAATGGATTGAACTTTACGAAATATTAGGAAAAAAAAGTGTGTACGACTTTGCGTAAATTTTGTTCACCGAAGAAAAGACGATGGTTTAACGCGCAGAAAGCTCGCAGAGAAAAGGTTAAAATCTGTAGGAAGAATCGGGCAAAACAAAGGAGGGCATGCACCAGTAAGATTCATGCCAGACGGTATTTGTTGGCCGTGATCACGCGATCTCGTAAAACTCGATGCGGTTCTATTCTCGTACTTGTCACGCCATTTTGCATAGTCAGGCAGACGTTCACCCTAATGCAGTGACTCGGGCGGCGAGTTTGAATAGTAAATTTCGGTTATGATAAAACTTTTGGCCACGACGATATCAACCGGTAATAACGTTACTTTTAATCGCGGCAATATATTCTACGGCAGAACTCGATACATTGTATTATCCGAGCTCACCAAACTGCACGGCTATCCGAATACCGTTCGGAACAAGGGTATACGTTGTTCCTTTAAATAACAATCGCGAGCTTGCACGCGATACGAATAGAGCGGCGTAAAAAAAGAGAGAATTTCTGCCACAAGTGGATTTTATTTTGCAGCGAATCTGAAAGAGGAACGAAAACCGAATTTAACGTCGGACAAAGAGATAAAAGATCGGCTGTGTGGTTAAAGCTAAACGCTGGAAGAAAGACGAAAAACGGAAGTAAAACGAAACCACCATCGAACTCGATAACGTTCGACTCTTAGAAGAAGGGAAAAAGCAGGATGGGGTTTAAACTTGTTGATGACCAGGCTTATCGATAGAGCGTCAACTACCCCCGGTAACTGGAGTTGCAGCGGCGTGTGTGCACGCGAGCGCATACATCTCGACACGAACCGCGTCCATATTGTTGCGTCTACAAAGAATTCCACACGCGTCCATATACAGGCCGGTGGACCTCAAAGCAAGGGTGTGCGTATTTACTGCGGGGAGACATCAAGACCGCTGACACACGGTGAAATATGGGGTCGAAACGGGTGTGGCAATTAAAGCACGCTCTCACCCCCCACTCTCTCTCACTCTCTGTCTATCTTATTCTCTCTCTCTCTCTCTTTCACGCTGAACTCGAGCACGAGTTATTTGGTATTTATGTACGCGCGAATACACGAGCCGAGCCAGTACGAATGACGGGCCACGGTTATTTGCAAAGTATGCAAAAGGGAGAGAAAACACGAGAGGCGTTAAAAAGAATTATGCTTTTATCGTTGATAAGTGAGTGGTGGCGAGTGGGAGAGAGATCATGCGCGTTGCACGCCACCGATGCTTTTCGTTTCAATCGCGCGCATATTAATGAGCTGGAATTGAATGCGTTACAACGAACGTTCCGTGGCACGGTGCTAGCAAATAACGTTGAATTTTCGCGACAGAAATAACGAAACTGGAAACCGGATACGAAATAGCTTGCATGAAAAATCAAATCGATATTCCGGTTGATATACGCGATGATTGAATATTCGTGCAGGCGATTTTAAGGATCTTCGAACGGTCTAATCGATCTCGCAAGGGAATCGAGCGTTAACGGATTATCAGAAAGGTGGAACGTTTTACAAAAGTATTAGGACAGGCTGGTGGTAAAGTTTTACAAGTTCGTCGAATTTCGAGCGCGAAACACAATAGCCTGTAGGGAATTTCCTGACATTATAGAGATCCGCAGTTCGTGATACAGCCGTTAACCTGGCCGACACGCGAGATTTTACTTAACACGAGTGAGTCGGTTCATTAGCACGCAAATCGTCGAACAGAGACGAGTCTCGTACTCCGCCGCTACCCTTAAACTGGCCTCTTATCGCTTAGCCCGAAGGTAGAAAAAAATCCCGCGGAAAAACTACACAGTGACCCCTTATATTCGATTACATCGAGCATTCGGAAACACTTTACTTTTTCCAGAATTTAACGACGAGCACAGGAAAAAGAATACCTGAAATTCCAGTAACAGTCTGCGATGTATGGAAGATAAGAGAATGACCATTTACGAACCTGTTCGTATTTCTCCAGCTCCTGATGGTAAATCTGTCTAATTTGGGCAAGTTTGGCTCTGTAATCCGAATGTTCGATGGCGTTGTCGGGTTGTCCAGGTGGTCCAGCCGCGGCTGCCGCC